GAGGTTCTTCTGTCCCTCCTGCCGGAGCTGCGAGCTGAACTGCGGGATGGCCTGCAGCCGGCCCCTCCCCAACCAGCATCCTGGTGCCCTGGTGCCCTGGTGCAGACCCGCAGGCACCAGAACCGTGTGTAGCACCCGTTTTGACTCCCGTAGCTTCTGTTACGGCCGTGCTCTCGTAAACAAGTTGCAGGTGAGACCACACAGTCATTTCAGGACAGGCTGTTGGGGACCTGGAATGTGTTCGTCTGTCACAATTCATGAGTGCGTTTTTATTTTATTTATTTATTTTTTGAGATGGAGTTTTGCTCTGTCACCTAAGCTGGAGTGCAGTGGTGCGATCTCAGCTCACTGCAGCCTCCACCTCCCAGGTTTAAGCAAGTGTCCTGTCTCAGCCTCCCAAGTAGCTGGGACTGCAGGTGCCACCACGCCCAGCTAATTGTTATATTTTTAGTAGAGACAGGGTTTTCCCATGTTGGCCAAGCTGGTCTAGACATCCTGACCTCTGGTAATCTGCCCGCCTTGGCCTCCCAAAGTGCTGGGATTACAGGTGTGAGCCACCACGCCTGGTCAAATATGTTTTTAGATTGGAAAATGAGATTTCACAAACTGAGGACAGAGCAAACCTGCTTGTCTTGCCTCGTCCCTGTTAGTCAAACTCAAGAGGCAGCATGGAGTCCGGTCGACTTTGCCGCTGCTCACGTGGCTCTGCTGTGTAGCCAGAGAGAGGCCAACTCTTGCCTTTACTAGAAACCCTGGAGAATGGTGATGTGAAATCCACCTGTTTTCCTCATCCCCAAACAAACAGAACCCTGCTGTAAGTCAATGAAAAGTACAGAAAGCAGTCTACTTTGGCCAGGCACGGTAGCTCACACCTGTAATCCCAGCACTTAGGCTGAGGTGGGCAGATTACTTGGGCCCGGGAATCGGAGACCAGCCTGGGCAACATGGCGAGACTCTGTCCTTACAAAAAATACAAAGATTAGCTGAGTGGTGGTGCACACCTGTCTTCCCAGCCACTCAGGAGGCTGAGGTGGAAGGATCGCTTGAGCCTGAGAGGTGGAGGCTGCAGTGACCTGTGACCATGCTGCTGCACTGCAGCCTTGGCAGCAGAGTGAGACTTTCAAGACAAAACGGAACAGTCTGCTTTGTGCAGTGTCTTTTCAGTGATAATCCAACTGTGAAAACCCAACCGTGAAGACTGTTAGGGAGAGAGAGCTGCTCCCTTAGTGGATATTCAGTGGGCCGCCAGGGCGGTGGTGAACATCTGAGAGCTCCTGATGACGCCCAGGCAGGCTTCAGAGGAGGAAGTTCCGGGCCCTGGTGCCGGGGGTCCCAGCAGTGGAGCTCAGCGGAGCCAGCTTTTTAGAGCGGGAAGCACTGAGGGGGTGCTCATGTAGGAGGCTTTTTCCCATGTTTCCCCCATTCAAGGAAGGGGTTGTACAACAGAGGAATGCACTCTCCAGTAATGCTGCGGCGCCTTGGGGCAGTTCTGAGCGTGGCGATGGTTGGAAGCAAGCGTGTCAGACACAGCTGCGAACCCTGCAGCTGGCTCAGGTCAGGGTGCGGGTGCCCTCGGCACACTCAGCTTCCCAGGAAAGGGGCGCCTCACCCCACCTCCCTCCCATGGCCACAGGCCACAGTCCAGCCTGCCACGCCATCCCTACCCCCTCGTGCCGCCTGTGCAGACTTGGGAATGGAGCTCACTGTGGCGTTCCTGAGGGGGACTGTCCAGCCCCTCACCCCACAATTTGGCCAGTGTCTCTGTGTGATAGGACAGGTGGCTTGGAAAGCACCAGAACCTTGTGGGCATGAGGCAGCTGCCAGCTCTCCACGTTCCTGCCGTGCCTCTGCACACACCGTGTGGGCATCCCCCTGGCCAACGCCGCCACGGCAGTGCCCCTCCCGTGCAGCGTGCGAAGCTGTTTCCAGGTCTGTGCTGCCGTTTCCCCACAGCGGCACAGAGGAGCCAGTGGTTGGTAGTCGTTTGGATGCAGTGATTGGCAGGCATCGTCATGGGTGTCTGGATGGCACTGAGCATGTTGGATACTAGGGAGCTGAAGCAACTGACTTTTTATTTATTTTTTTTTTTTGAGATGGGATCTCACTCCTTTGCTTAGGCTGAAGTGCAGTGGCATGATCTCAGCTCACTGCAGCCTCAACCTCCTGAGCTCAGGTGATCTTCCCACCTCAGCCTCCTGAGTAGCTGGGACTGCAGGTGTGCATCATCACATGCAGCTAATTTTTGTATTTTTAGTGGAGACAAGGATTTGCCGTATTGCCCAGGCTGGTCTCAAACTCCTGGAGTCAAGCTGTCTGTCCACCTTGGCCTCCTAGTGTTGGGATTACAGGTGTGAGCCACCGTGCCTGGCCTAAACAACTCTTGAGGTCCCTCCACAGTCAGGCGGCCGGCTCAGCACTGCACCTCCACCCCACTGTGAGGCTTCTCCCCGCAAGGGTATTGGCCAAGACTTGGTGGCTGTGGATGAATGAGACCAACATGGTGGAAAGTCAGCGATGCAGAGTCAGAGGCAGTTCCTGGAAGATGCCCTTGCCGTCCAGCAAACGCCAAGCCACACACACTGCTTTAGGAATGGCAGACGTTGGAGGCTTGGTTTTGTGGGTCCTCCTGAGAAGGCCACACCCACTGCTTTAGGAATGGCAGGCGGATGTTGGAGGCTTGGTTTTGTGGGTCCTCCTGAACAGGCCACTGGAGGACCCGGAAAGAGAAGGAACTTGAAGTTGAGAAGTGTCGATCTGCCAGCCTGGGCAACGTGGCAAGACCCCACCTCTACAAAGGATTTAGAAATTGGCCAGCAATGATGGCACACACCTGCGGTCCCAGCTCTGAGGGAGCCGAGGAGGGAAGATCACTTGAGCCTGGGTGGTCGAGGCTGCAGTGAGCTGAGATTGCACCACCGCACTCCATCCTTGGTGATGGAGCAAGATTTGTCTCAGAAACAAAGGGAAGTAAACTGGATCTGCGCCGTGATTGAGGCTGTTGCCGAAGGACTCATGTTGGTGCTGCTTGCAGCTGCGCTCGGAGCCACGGGGCCCCACAGTCACAGATGTGTGAGGCCGACAGAGCTGTCTTGTAAACTGGAAGTGTGCTCTGCGGAGCCGTTCTCAGCTGCCAGGGCCTGGTTTTGGTGCGGTCTGGCTGGCACTGGGGCCCTGTCCGGCCCAGTGGGGACCATTTCAACATACTGCTTCCCCCCGCTGTGGACTGAGCTACGGACCCACCCTGGGACGTGAGGGTTTGGTGGGTGGATGGCCCGCGGCCGTCCTCGAGGTTCCCTTGGGTGGTCATGAGGAGACTTGGCTGTCCGTCCTGCAGCCATCTCACACGTGTGGATAGAAATGATCAGTTTCCTAACATTTAAATGATAGCTTTTCAAAGACAACATTGGTTTTTTTTTTGTCCCAGAGTTACCCAGACTCAGCAAGTAGTACTCACAAATGCTGAAAGTACAGCCTCCCCTGGAGTTAATTTTTAAACTCTGAACTTCATCTTTCCAAACGTCAGGCATGTGTGTGAGCATCTTGGCGTCCCATGTGGTGAGACCTAACGTGAGCCACTGAGTCTCCCAGGCCAGCCCCGACCTGCAGTGGGTGGAACTCAGCCAACCACTGAGCTCCCCAGCGGGTCAGTCAGAGCCAAATGCAGTGGCTGACCTTTCATTCCCATTAACAGTCAGCCGGGGCGTTACAACAATGAGCAGGAGTGACTGACCGAGGATGAGGGCACAGTGGCTGTGGGGGTTGGGGGTGGGGGCCGAGGAGCTGCAGCGCTGTCTGTGCCCACAGGTACGCTGCCCCTGGCCTCACAGGAGTCGGCCGTGGTGGAGGACCTGCTGTATGTGCTGGTGGGCGTGGACGGGAGGCACGTCACTGCTCAGCCCCTGGCCGGGAGGCAGAGCCGGACCTTCCTCGTGGACCCCAACCTGGACCTGTCCATCAGGGAGCTGGTGAACAGGATCCTGCCGGTGGCTGCCAGCTACTCCACCGTGACTAGGTGGGCACGGTGTTGTGAGGGAGGGGTTAGGTCCCATCCTGATGACCATGGAGACATCTACATCCCTTCTAAAGAGAGCCCCCACCTTGGGGACAACTCCTGACCGACTCAGCTTTGGAGGGTCTGAGTCACTGCATGGGGTCCTGACTCATCTCCTCCCAGGGGCAAAAGCTCCCTTCTGGGATGTGGGGTTCGAGTGAGTCATTTACTTCCTGTGTAGGGGTGAGCCTCAGAGTATCTGACCTTTTATCTGGATGCAGCTGGTCTTTTTGAGGAAGTTGACAGCTCTTCTCATAGGTTCATCGAAGAGAAGTCTTCCTTTGAGTATGGGCAGGTGAACCACGCCCTGGCGGCCGCCATGCGCACCCTGGTCAAGGAGCACCTGATCCTGGTGTCGCAGCTGGAGCAGCTGCACAGGCAGGGCCTCCTGTCGCTGCAGAAGCTCTGGTTCTACATCCAGCCGGCCATGCGCACCATGGACATCCTCGCCTCCCTTGGTGTGTGCCCGCTGGGGAGAGTGGGGCAGTGGGGGGCAGGTGTTACAGCACAGCACCCAGCGTGAGGAGAGACTCTGCCGGGGCATGGAGCCGCTGCCCAGGTCAGGGGCGTGCAGCCACAGCCAAAACCCATGTGGCTCCGGGTAGTATTTGCGAGAGGAAAGCCCTGGGAGCTCTTCCTGGTCAGCTTTCATCAGCAGCTACAACCTTGCAGTTTGTACACATCCCACCCACGCACACTGTCCCAGTGAGAAGGCTGGAGAAGCACGGGAGGCCCCAGCGGGGTCGTTGGCAGTCTGAGCGTGTGCTTCCCTGTCGGCAGTGAGCTCTCTTCTCCCCACAGCCACCTCGGTGGACAAAGGCGAGTGTCTTGGGGGGTCCACACTGAGCCTGCTTCATGACAGGAGCTTCAGCTACACGGGGGACAGCCAGGCGCAGGAGCTGTGCCTGTACCTGACCAAGGCGGCCAGTGCTCCCTACTTCGAGGTTCTGGAGAAGTGGATCTACAGGGGCATCATCCATGACCCGTACAGGTAGGGCTCCTGGGGACCCGGAGGGCGTGTGCTGCCCTCTCTGGGGGCAGAGCCTTGCTTTGCTTGTGGTCTCGGGAAAGCACATACTGGGCAGATGTGCACCTGCTGCCCAGGCGGCCAGGGCAGGGATGGCCCAGGTGCTTCGGGCCTTCCTCTTCGTGTGCAGGACGTGAAATGCCTCCGTTAGGCCCTTCAGCCAGTTTGGTGCAAGGCCCTCCTGAACTGGTGGGGTCTGTCGGCTTCTCTACAGTGACATATATTTAAATTCATAAAAACATGATTGTTTGCAAAGAATTTTACTATAGTTTATTATGTTAAGATACGGTTGTTGAAATATTTTGAAAAGAAGTGTTTGTGATATGGAAATACGTATTTCTTTACTGATGGACCCAATAAAATCTGGTATAATGGGCCTAGCAAAGAAAGCAGCTTCACACTTGATGTGCTAAATGACATTCGAAGTTGTTCCAATGGTGACATGCAGACAGGCATCTGCTTTCTGTTAGTGTCTGCCCCACGCACCCCGCACAAGCATCATTTTGGTGCCTGGATTCATTGTGGAAGGAAATGCTAAATTCCAAAAAGAGGCGGGTACAGATAAAGACAAATCAATTTCCCATCCAGCCCTATAGACCCCACGTTGTCTCTGAACCCAGGTTAATACTTCCCGCGGACCCCACAGTCTCCCGAACCCGGGCTGACACTCCCCACGGACCCCACAGTCTCCCCGAACCCGGGCTGACACTCCCCGCGGACC